CATTGCACAGTACATTAACTGCCTTATTAGAAGCAACGGACAAATGGTCAATCAACATAGATAATGGCCTACTCAATGGAGTGGTCTTTATCGACCTCAAAAAAGCATTTGATACCATTGATCACACCATTCTCTTACGGAAGTTAAGAATATATGGTGTTGACCAAAGCGGCATCAAACTCTTTGAATCATATCTAAGCAACCGTGGCCAAAGATGTTGCGTAAATGGTGAATTATCTGAGGCTGTTAAAATAAGTTGTGGTGTGCCTCAAGGTAGCAACTTGGGGCCACTATTGTTTTTAATTTACATTAACGATTTGCCTAATTGTCTGGAAAGAGCCTCTCCGAGAATGTTTGCTGATGATACCAATATAAGTATTGCGGCAAAATCTGTAACAGAGCTTGAATCAATAATTAACTCTGAATTGAAAAATCTTAATCAATGGCTCATAGCTAACAAACTGAGTCTAAATGTCGCTAAAACGGAATTTATGATAATTGGATCTCGTCAACGGTTAATGATACACAATAATGAACAAATAAACATTGAAATTGACGGGAAGATAATCAAGAGAGTTAAAGATACGAAATCATTAGGATTACAAATTGATGAGCACCTAGTATGGGCGCGACACGTTGAAGGCATTTCCAAAAAGGTTGCGTCGGCAATTGGTGCTCTTAAAAGGATACGCCAGTTCATAGATACAAGCACTGCCCTCAAAATTTACGGAGCTTTGATTCAACCGTATTTTGATTATTGTAGTTCAGTTTGGGATGGTTTAAATATCACGTTAAATGATAAATTGCAAAAACTGCAAAATAGAGCAGCGAGGGTAATTACCAAATCTGGATACGATGCAAGTTCCAGCGACCTTTTCACTAAACTAGGTTGGGACAATCTTTCGACACGCCGGAAAAAACACAAGGCTGTAATAATGTTCAAAATTCTTAACGATTTAACACCGAATTATCTCCGTAATTTATTTGAATTCCACAGCACAGGATACAATTTGAGAAACTCTGAAAATGCTTTATTTGTACCAAAACCGCGAACAAATTATGCTAAGCGAAGTTTTAGTTATAGTGGCGCGGTGTTGTGGAATGAGTTACCTCAAAATGTACGAGCATTATGCTCTCTTAACCAATTTAAAAGGGAGATTGACAACATTTTTTCCCTATAAAACAGACTCTCGCACGGCAATCTTGTAAATCAGTTTATATATCTGTATTTTAAATTGTATTGTATTGTGTTGTATTTAGTAATTTTGTCCCTAAATATCTAATGAATGTATATAATTATAGCCCACTTTTTATACTGTAGATTTTACCGTGCTTAAATAAAGTTTTGATTGATTGATTGATTCGACCCTCACTTTGGAGATATCCAGAAATCCGAAGTCCACTTCCCTCAAGTGACAGGCGTGGGATCGCTTCCGGACAAAGAGAAAAGAAAAAAATCCAATGCTACGTTTGCTCAGAAGACCACCGAGTGGTAGAATGCCCTGCGTTTTCGAGCTGCTCCACCGATGAGAGAATCCAACACATCAAGAAGCAGCGACTCTGTTTCTCCGGCCTCAACCGCGGTCACGTGACAAAGGATTGTAGATCCAAAGCAAAGTGTGATGTAGACGACTGCACTCATTTCCACCACCGCTTACTACACGCCAGTAAAGAAACGAATCCTATATTAGGTTCGGCAACTTCTGCCCTCGATAGAGATGGAATCATGCCAGTTGTCAGAGTCTGTTTCAAGTCCTCCAATGGCAACGTACGCGAAGGAAACGTCTTGATGGACAGCGGCGCGGGTATCACGGTCATCCGAAATTCATTCGCCAAAGTCCTGGGTCTCCAAGGGAAGAAAGAGAAGATAAATATCGCAATCGTTGGAGGAGAGAGAATAACTCAAGATGACAGTCGCAGAGTAAAGTTTTGGATTTCTCCATTGAACGGAAACGAGTCGTTTCCTATAGAGGTTCACGAGATTTGCTACACCATAATCAACGTCTCTCGTCTTGATCGCGCTTGGTTGAGCTCCCTTGATCACCTAAAAGATGTTGACTTTTCACATCACGCTGGCCCGATCGATTTGATTCTTGGTGTACAATACAGCCACCTTCACGCCGAGAATGAAGTACGTCAAGGTTTACCGTTCCAACCAATAGCCAAAAAGACAAAGCTTGGATGGCATATTATTGGTCCTGACAACGCGAAGAGTTCACCCGACAACTACCTCAGCTTCGCAAGAAAAATCAACCTGAAACATTTTATGACTTTGAAACGGTTGGAGTTAGAGCTCCAGACTGTAAATGTCCGGTAGACGTGATGACCAACGACGGGAAAAAGGGCATAGACCTGTTCAAGTCATCGTGTAAGAAGTTAGACGGACGATACGTGATCGGACTACCTTGGAAGAATGATCCTGCAGGACTACCAAATAATTATCCCTTGGCACGGAAAAGACTCGAGTCTTTGGAGAGAAGCTTACAAAGAAATCCAACGAAAGCCAAGATGTACAATGAAGCAATTAAAGAATACGAGAAGAACGGATAGGCCAGAAAGTTAGAAGACCAAGAAGTCAGAAAACCCCATGCACACTATTTACCTCACCACGGCGTCTACCGGCCAGAAAAGAAAAGCACGCCCCTCAGAATCGTGTTTGACCCCGTATCCCCCTACAAGAATATTGTTGTAGGTTCCCTGCGCAGCGCCAGCAGTTCCTTAATACAGCGGTAGTTGTTTTGAATACTTATGTAAATATAGTTTAATTAATAGTTGATCCATGGTAATTCGATATGTAGTGATGTCACCGGTGGATAAAACCACGTATTGTTGTTGGCCTTGGGCAGAGGCTTTGAGATCGGTGAACGAGACGCGTTAAACTTGTGTAAATAGCTAATCAAATCAATCTAATAAATATTACAATCAAGAAAAATACAGTCCCCTGAATCGAGGTTTGAGTGCGTATTAGTACGGCAGGAACCAAGTTGGAGGTTCTGCGATAAATATCTCGCTCAATTCGTTTCTGTACAAAGGACCTTGTCTGATTGGCGATCTTCTAGGAGTTCTGCTACGCTTTCGAGAAGAAAAGGTGGCGTTTGTCGCGGACATATCGAAGATGTTCTTACAAATACTTCTGCCTGAAAGTGATTGCTAAGTGCATCGTTTCTTATGGAGAAACATGGACACGACGAAGGAGCCGACGACCTACGCCCTACTCCGCGTTACTTTCGGGGACAAGCCATCTCCAGACATGGCGAGCTACGTGATGCTCAAGATCGCGGAGGAAAACAAGGAACGCACACCGGAGGCTTCCAAAATCATTGAGAGGGACCGGTATGTCGACCACTTGATCCATTCATGCTCGACTGTGCAAGATGGAGAGAAGAGAATCAAGGACGTACAGAAGATACTTGGAGAAGGTGGATTCGGTATAAAGGAATGGCATTGCTCCTCACCTGAACTTCAACAAACCGTAAATGCGAAAAGAATGAAAGGAAATCAAGATCAAATTTCACCTTCATCAAGCGAAGTAAACCTCGACAAGCAAAGCGCATCAAAGCTCTGGGAGTTTCGTGGACATCTAACACAATTAATTTTCAAGTCCAATTAAAGGGAACAATCCCTTATACGAAAAGATCAGTCCTGTCAAACATCTCTCGAATCTTCGATCCCCTTGGATTAGCAACACCTGTAACGATAAAAGCAAGAATGGCGCTGCAGGAGGTATGGAAAATGAAGTAATTTGATTGGGATGACCAACTTCCAAAACAGATACATCATATTTGGGACACGATATTCGATGAGTTAGAAAACCTATCAACTGTTTGTTTCCTGCGTTGTCTAAAGCCGAATAAAGCAACCGGTTCACCACAGCTTCACGTATTCTCCGATGCCAGTATCAATGCCTATGGAGCAGCCTATCTTGTTTGGTCACGAGGCGGTGTCGAAGCCCGCCTTGTGGCAGTCAAAGCGAGAGTCGCGCCAATTCGACAAACAACTATACCGAGATTGGAGCTTATGGCGGCCTTAATAGCCTCAAGACTAGCTAAAACGATCCAAGGTGAATTCAAGATAAAACCATCAAGCATAACGTTCTGGACGGACTCCATGATTGTGCTCGCATGGATCCAAGCAAGATCGATCATCCTAAAGCCATTCGTCAGAGTTCGAGTGACAGAAATTCAGACTTCATGGGAACCCTGCTGCTGGAGATTCGTTCCAACAGGTCTGAACCCTGCAGATGACCTAAGTAGAGGTATTCCAGTGGAAAAGTTGAAATAACGTTGGATGAAAGGCCCCACATTTTTAAGAAATCCAGTCGAGCAGTGGCCCTCCCACCCGAACAAGCAAGTTGAACTACCAGATGTAAAGAGTTCAGCGGACATCCGTGCCCTGCAACGAGAGGTTACACACCCCATAATGGACCCATGAAGGTTCTCGAACTGGAGGAAACTGTGCAGAATCACAGCCTTGTGGGGAACACTTTGACCAAACCCACACTTTCACTAAAGTCCCAATATCACACGTCTCACATCACACAGTTTTATAGATTTCATGTTTACTCTCCTAAGTCTCATGTACCAATAACAATAATAATAACCCCCCCCCAAAAGGTATCCCTAACTCACATGACGTCCACGTCATCACAATAACCTAATTTACATAGTTTCCGACACTCTCTCCCATGTGACTCCAGGATGGAGACACATGCAATAAGGAAACTATATGATTTAACATGCAAATTTAAAGTTAATTAAGCTAATTTAAAGGAAATCCAACTGGGTCGATTCCATCAATAATTCAAGAGTTTTTATCTCCTATAATAAATTAAACAGTATATAAACTTCAAAGTAATAACTAACAACAACGAACTCAGTTGCCATCTTTTGCCAACTCTCGGACTCGTAAGTTAGCGGCCACGGCTGCATCTCGTTTTGGACGAAATTCCTTTGCAGCAGGATTCAGTGGCTTCTCTTTAAGCTCTTTCTTCGCCTCAGAACTTAACTCCAACGGGTAAAGATGCTGGACGGCAACTTGACCGCGCGAACAATTCCATCTCGTCCTGGGAACAGCTCATCAACGATACCAAGCGGCCATTTTCCACGATTCCTTTCGTCGCTGCGTATGATTACAACATCACCAACTTCGGGAGATTTAGTTTTGTCCGTCTGCTTGCAATTGTGTCGTTCACGTAATGCTGCCAGGTACTCTCGAGTCCATCGCTTCCAAAGCGCGTCCTTGCACGACCGCAAATATCTTGATCTTTTGCGCAGATCCACGTCTTCTTCTCGCCAGGGTTCCTGCTCGGGTAAACGGTTCGTACGTTGGAAAAGAAAACTGGCGGGTGTCAGAAGTGGGAGATCAATATCTTCTTCTACGTAGGACAGAGGGCGACCATTAAGTTGAATCTCAACATCGAGAACTACTTCAGCAAGCTCGCTCCACGAAAGCGTAGCATTTCCCACACATTTGTAAAATGCTCGCTTAAAGATTCCCACCAATCTCTCAAACTGTCCGCCCCACCAAGGAGCTCGACTTAGATTAAACTGCCAACGTATCTGTTCATCTTCCAAATAGCCGTGAAGCACTTCGTCCTTTCGAATCTGCTTTAACCATCGCGCCGCCCCTATGAACGTGCCACCATTGTCAGAGACAATCTTTGCCGGTCGTCCTCTCCAAGCAATCAAACGCTTAAGACTGCCAAGAAATGTTACAGTTTTGAGGTTTGGAAGAATTTCCAGGTGTAACGCTCTCGACAGGCTGCACGCGTACAACACTAGGTAGGCCTTTCCCTCGACTCGTGGAGACTTCCGATAACGAATTGGACCTGCGAAATCTACGCCTATCACCTCAAAAGGCGCAGAACCCTCCGTTCTTTCCTTAGGTAAGAGTTCTGGTGGTGGAACGGCGAGTGCTCGGACTTGGAAGCACTTACATCCCCAACAGGACTTGATAATTCTTCTCGCTAATTGGCGAAGTCGGGGAATCCAAAATTTCTCACGAACACGGACCATGGTTATACGAATACCGCAAAGAACGGTGCTCTCGTTCGACCAGCTTTTTTGCTAAAGTGCTTGCGTCAGGCAGGTACACCGGATAGCTAGCTTCCTTCGATTCGGCCACGGCATTCGAGAATCCCGATTGCGTTAGCTTGTAGGTTTAGCTGGCGCTCGTCATTAGCAAACGTCTGCGAGTTCATCGCGCGAGATTGGACTCTTCTAATCCACCAGTCCATCTGCGGCTCCAGCTCGGCAACAGTTAGAGGACCACTAGAAACAGGAATACCACGACACTTGTCAATGAACTTCTTGATCCAAGCGCAAACTCTTAACGTTTTCTTCAAATCGCACCGGTCTAGTAGATCATCAAATACATATATCGTCTCGCGAATAATTTTGCTCTCTGCGGCCGATTCAGTAGTCGGTTCTGTAGCAGGATTGATGGGCCAAGCGTTTGGACTAGACAACCACGAAGGGCCGTTCCACCACAAATCATTGTCCACCACTGGCCCGCCACGACTTGCTAGGTCTGCAAGATTTTTGGAGGAAGACACGTGCCGCCAGCCGTCGATTTTGTGCTCTGTAATTTTCCGCACCCTATTTGCTACGAACTGGCGATACTCCCCGGTCCCGCCGATCCAATATAAGGCCACAGTGCTATCAGTCCAACACTGCACCAAAGACACTAAGAAATGAATTAGAGCACGCCGGACGTGATCCGCGATATTAGCTGCCATGTGCGCGGCAACCAATTCAAGGCGAGGAATATTAAGACCCTTCTTTGCCAATCTCGATTTCGCTGCGACCAGACCTTGGCTCGTCCCGCTTGTTTGACGAACAACGGCGTAAACAGCTGTAGCCATGCACTCCATGACCGCTCGCGTCGCCGAAAGAATGTAGCTCTATCTCTTCAATCGGTTCGCGATGGGTTGCCAAACTACGTTGTGTTGAGACTGCAGAAGGCAGATTCGACACCCATTCATTCCAGCGCTTCGCTAAGGTTTTGGGTAGAGGAGAGTCCCACGATAGCTTGCTTAAACAAGCATCACGATACATCAATTTGCCCTGTAGTAGGATTGGCGACGCGAAACCGAGTGGATCATAAACGCTGGCCAACTTAGCAAGAATACCTCGTTTCGTAGACCCGTCTTTGTTAGCAGGAAAGACCACAGCTAACGTGTCACTGTGTTTGTTCCAAGCTACTCCAAGGAGTTTACCGCCGCTTTCAGAAGGTGTAGGGAATTGTTGCTTGGCATAGGTTTGCTCAGCGTCGCTTTCGGAGGAAGACTGGTCAGATTCGAGCTCAGGAACGTTCGAATTCCACTTATGAAGCTTGAACGAAGCATCTTCAAAGATAGTAATTGTATCTCGCTTCAATTCACGCGCCGAAGCCACTGTAGTAGCACCCGAAATAAGATCGTCCAAGTAGAGGTCTCGCGAGATTTGGTCAACTCGGTCTGGTAACCTAGGTTTCCAACCAGCTAAATGCTACTCGATCACGCCGCCCAGCAGAAACGGAGAACATACCAAACCAAACAGTGCTCTGGTGAATCTTAGCGTCACGATCTCGTCCGATGTAACATTCTTTAACCAGTGGAAACGCAGCGCATCTCGATCGTCTTCTCCGATACGCACCTGGAGGAACACCTTCTTCATGTCGGCAGCGAGGATCACGGGCCGGAATCTACCGCGAACAAGAACATCCCATAGCTTGTTTTGTAGAGCTGGACCAGTTTCTAGGCAAGCGTTCAGCGATGGACTTCCTTTCTCGGCACTAGCGAAACAATTATACACAATACGCATCTTCGTGCTTGCGACGTTATCTCTGATGACAGCTCGATGAGGCATATAATACTCGAGACCTACGACTTTCAACGGCGCCTTTTCGACGATTCCTTGCTCGAGCTGCTCGTCAATGATACTGTTGTACTCTTCGATTTTACCGGTGTCTCGCAATCGTTTGACGACAGACCTCAGACGGCGAAGACTGGCGTTTCGGTTATCGGGAAGGGAAGGATGGTTTCCTTTCCAAGGCAAACTGGTTTCGTACCACCCGGCATGGGGATCACGTGTAAGCTGCTCACGGAATTCTTGATGCACAATCAGTTGGTCACCCGATGGAGAGTCCGCTAAACCAAGAACGTCCAGGGCACATTAACGCTCGTAGTCCGCCGAAGAATTAACCGCGAGAAATCCGGGAACGTCATTGCTATCTAGCCCCGGGGCCATTATAGCCCAACCGAAGCGAGTGAATCAGTGGACGATTCCGGCAATTCTAAAACTGGAAAAATTCCGAATATGGAAAGCAAAATTTAGATAAAATCCATCTTTCCAATTCATCATCCAATTTAGAACGTACTCGCAGTCACAGTTGATTTGATTATTTCTATCCCGTCGGAGGTGCCAGTAATGTGGGGAACACTTTGACCAAACCCACACTTTCACTAAAGTCCCAATATCACACGTCTCACATCACACAGTTTTATAGATTTCATGTTTACTCCATTAAGTCTCATGTACCAATAACAATAATAATAACCCCCCCCCAAAAGGTATCCCTAACTCACATGACGTCCACGTCATCGCAATAACATAATTTACATAATTTCCGACAGCCTATTGTCTCCGTTTTATTAAAAACAGTAAGACCCCAGCAGAGCGACAAGATGGCCCCCTCGAGCCGATGGAAATCGAATCAGCCGAAACAAATTGGAGTCAGCGCAGACGGAGCTTGGCGACTGGGAACATCAGTACAAAGATTTGGCCCCGTTCAAAGAAGACGGCGTAGTCCGCGTGGGAGGAAGATTGGCTCGCTCTCCTTTGCAATTTGACGAAAATCACCCAGTGTTGCTACCAGTAAGCCACGTTATATCGAAGCTAGTCGCCAAAGACGCTCATAATCGTGTCCTACATGCCGGTCGCGAACGTACGTTGTGTGAATGTCGAAGAAAGTTCTGGATTCCTCGTGGCAGAAATTTGGTCAGGAAGATAGTCAAAGATTACGTCACTTGCCGCAGACTTAGACAGTACCCGCATACCACGCTGATGGCTGACCTCCCTCCCGACAGATTGAAGTTGTTTGCATCACCATTCACAGTCACGGGCGTCGACCTGTTTGGTCCCTTCTACTTGAACTATGGGAGAAACAAGAAGATAAAAGCCTGGGGAGCCGTCTTTACATGCGCCACTGTTCGTGCAATACACTTGGAGATCGTCCAAGACTTATCAACAGAAGCATTCCTACACGCCCTTCGACGTTTCGCCGCTCATCATGGTTGGCCCAAAACCATAATCTCGGATAACGGAACGTCATTCGTGGGTACAGAACGAGAATTGAAGGAACTTCTAAAAGAAGGAAAGAAAAACCTCGAAGACTTTGCCGTATCACATAAGCTGAAATGGAAGTTCAACACGCCTTCAAGCCCCCATCAAGGAGGATTTTTCGAGAGCATGGTGAAGTTGACGAAATCCGCACTGAAGGCCATCGTTGGTCAACAAACGTTGTCATGGCGACAGTGTTTGCAGAGGTAGAATGCTTGATTAATTCCCGACCTCTTGGATATCCATCCAATGATGCCAACGACTTACAGCCGCTGACACCAAACCACCTCATCTTAGGACGTGCCACATCAGAGACACCACAAGGTCCATTCCAAGAAGTAAAGAGCAGCAGAAAAAGGTTCGAATATGTTCAGTCATTAATCCAGCAGTTTTGGCAACGATTGCAACAGGAGTATCTGCAGAGTTTGATGCGCCGAACAAAGTGGAGGCAAAAGAAGAAACAGCCAAAGGTCAATAACATGGTAATGTTGGTAGACGACAATCTCCCACGCGGGAGGTGAAACATGGCACGTATCGTCGAGGTTATGCCGGGACAAGACGGTGTGGTAAGAAACGTAATTGTGAAGACGAAGACGGGAACTTATAAACGGTCAGTACAGAAATGCTGCATGATATTAGAAGAAGAGTCTCTTTAACAGAGGCCCGGAGGGTTGTTTCAGACAGCCCAACTTACTTTACTTACTTATTATATCTAATTGATTCCTTAACTTGATTACACCTTGATTTACATCATTGATTAACATACATGATTGACAATAGTATGAACAGGATGTCGGTTCCAATTACAAGTAACAAAACGCATGTACGGTGTATTTGTCGTCGTTAGTTTGTCGTCGTTAGTCAGAGAGAGATATAGCGAGGACCTATATCAGCAATTGTTTAAATTCAGAGACAGCTGTAGAGATCCACTCTTAAGGTAACGAGCGATTACATATAGTCTTCGATTGACAATTTAATCAAAATGAATAATTTTTAATCAAAATTAATCATTATCTTACTATAGAATGTATTTTATATAAATATATTACAAAAAATCTCTACGGCGTAGTCGTGATCTGTCTTTGGAAACAGAGGGTAATGCACACCGGTTTCATTCTCATTTCTTTCTGAAGTACGTTGAGGCACTTTTTTGATAACTCCAGACTTCAACTGTTCTTGAATGCCGTTGTCATATTCACGTAGGAGTTCGGGTTGCTTTATCAAACACCGGTGCAACGATCTTAACCGATTTTGAAAAAGTACAAAGAAGAACTTCGTACCGTTCTTCTGTGAATTTAATATCGCGGATGAAGTCATTCTCGTTCTGTTCTGGTTGGAAATCGTTCCTATCGGAATTCCTATTGACTCTGTATCCCAGAAACGCTTTAATGAATTCACAATCTTGTCTTCACTTGCTGGAGCAGAGAATTATTTATCCGACAGTTTACCACAGAGGATGAGATTTGACAGTGTTGGATCTTCTGATTTAACAGACGTTGGCACTTGACCAGATAGCAACCACCCAAGTTTACTGCTAACTGCAGAGGGTCCGCGCTCGTCTTTCACAACATCACCTGTGACGATGTCCCAATAATGATCCGCGCGAATTAGAATATCGAGTTATGAGCGTAATCTGTGTTGAACTTTGAGTTCAGTGGAGAACATATGATAAAGAAATTAATCGCAGTGAGTTG